ACACACACACACACACACACACACACACACACACACACACACACACACAGATACACTGTAGTTTTGTTGCCCAAGAATGCTACCTTTTGAGTTAGCCTTCACATACACACACCCTGCGCCCATCCCACTTCCAGCAGAATACATGTTCAACAAGAAAGGCAGCTCAGCCAAAAGTAGTGGTGGGTTGATTCTCAGTTCAGGTTCTACTTTCTTCACCAATAGACAGGAGAGCTTAAAATTTGTGCCTCATGAATCTGAGCAAGAAGCCACCAGGCTGGTAAGTACAAACACAGTCCCTATTTTAAGGTTTTCAGACTTTATTTCATGGTATTTGACATTGATACATACTGGAGTTAGTAACAAGATCCCATGCAGCTCCCTCTAGCCTTGGATTGCTGAAGCAGGAAGAAGGTCAGACTGCCCCCATCCCAGATCTGTCTAGTCTTTCTCCCAAGATGACTGTGCTGGACATTAAAGATAGGGAATGGAGAAACAGACAGTTGCTTCAGTTTCAGTCATTTTTGGCTCCATAGTCATCTCTGCCATTCCTGTGCCTGCCCTTGGCTGGACACTGGGCAGGTAACTGTCACTCAGACAAGGATGACCACCATTACAATGGACCAATTGAGGGTTGCCCTCACATTAGACCAATTAAAGGTTGCTCTGAGTTAAACAGGAATGACCGAACTTCCACATCAGAAATCAAACAGATCAGTGGTTGAAGAATGTGGTTAGGAGTCTGGCTAGATATCTTTGAGAGACAGGTGCAGCTGGCTGCTCAGGCAGGTAAGCAATGGAGGTCAACCACATCCCATAGTGACGCACTCCCTCTTAGGGGTTCCTAAGTGGCCTGGTGTTTTGGGGAAAGGATGACCATGTTCAGAGTAACTGAGTAGGTGGGTAAGGCCAGCTGAGGGCCAGTCAGGCCAACTTAGATGGAGCCTGGCTTCTGTTTCCAGTCTCCAGTGACAGGCAAACACATTTTGGGAAGTAAGATGATGCTCCAATTGTTATCAGTTTTTCAATATCACAGTATTGTCACAGGAGCACTAGGGGTCCAGGCTAGCCTGGGGTGAGGATGGCTCTTAGCACACACAGGAGAGCAGCTTAAGTGGGAACCTACAAAGGACCCAATGTTACTTGGTTTAATGAAGGGCCCCCTCAACCCCAACAGCCCCCTCCTGCTCAGGGACACAGTTCTCATCCAATAACACATTAATAACACACAAACAGGGCCTAGCAATGGGCCAGGAGACCCAAAGGACCAATACAAGTGGACAGGTAGGAACATACAGTGCAAGGGGCTGAGGCATGGTACCTTAGGCAGAGGAGTGTGTCCTAAGGTGGCCTTCAAAGCCCAGGGCTCTAGGTGCTACGGTCCACTTAAGAGTCCCTCAGCACCACTTTGTCTCTGCAGCACAGCTGCCCGGACGGAAAGGAGGCCAGGTCAGCAGTCCTTCTGGCCAACGTGCAGTCAAGAAAATCATATAAAAATGCAACAAGTTTACAAAAATAGAAAATAATTACAGTAGGGAAGGTGGCAGCTCTGGTGGCAGCTCAGGGAGTGGGGCAGGGTCTTAGCTCTGGTTTGGTGACAGCGTCCTCCAGCAGATGCAGCTGGCGATGGCCCACTACCACGTCCCGCAGACAGCCCACAAAACCTGTGCCATAGGCCTTGGGTAGAGCCTGCCCCACAGGAAGCTTCTGCAGGCCTCCTACAGGACAGACAGTAGATTAGCAGGCAGTGATGCCAACATATGGTGCCCAACAGCACCTGAATACCAGTGAGGTGCTATACATGTGCACAGACTTAAGATCTGCAAGGTTAATGAAGAAGAGGGTGCTGCCCTGCCCTGGAGAGCCCATCTGTTATCCAGATGGGCCACTTCAGATGTCAGCTCTAGGACAGTCTATCCATCATACAGTTTGAGACCCTTGGGTATCCCCTCCCCTGGCCAGTTCCAAACACTCACCAAGCCACAGGGCTCCATCTGTGTCCAATTGTGTGGCACCCAATGGGGAAGAGCCAGTCACAGGGGCTTCATTGCCCACTTGAAGGGAACCTTCCCTGTGCTCCCTAGGGGATGGGTAGGACAAATCTGTCAAGAGTGTCCTCCCTACCTCATCTAGGACCTAGACACCACATTTTCTCTATCACATGCCTTGTAGATACCACACCCTGAAAGTAACACTGTATGTTATCCCGGCAGGCAGTGGCTGATTGCTTCTCTTGTGTCTTACTGTTCCCTCTTCCCCTCTCACTAACAGACCTTGAGTCAGGCTGCTAGGGACCATGAATGACTGGGTATGACCCAGCTAAGCAAGTTCATCCACTACCTACTGTCGTTCTCAGTGGACTTCACTGACCTGTGAGCCCTGATTCGAAGCCAGTGGTTGGTGTTGACCTTCACAGTGGAGCGCAGCACAACTGGCTGGGAACCTAGGTCATAGCTCAGCTGTAGGTGCCCATCTACAATGGCCAGAGCCATGTAATCTGCACGTTCTGCAGCCTTGCCAATCCACAGCACCAGCCCTTGAGTGGCCTCAGTGCGTAAGCTCAGTTCAAAGTGGTTGCTCTGCAGTGCTTTCTCACTGTAAAGTAAAAGGATGGGTCAAGGGCTTCCAGGGTAGTAGGCAATGGAGTGGGATGGGTGTGGGTGATGTTAGAGTACAAAAAGCTTGAGCTACTATCATAGAGACCCGAAGCTGGTGATCAGACCCTGGCAACTGGGTGGGCAGGGGCAACACCAACAATGCAAGAAAGGAGAGATGGTAGACATGGTCAACTAGACAAAGTTGATCAGAGAGGTGGCAGACAAGAGGCAAGCACATGGCAACAAAATGTGCTGGGTCTCTCAAATACTGCCATGTGCTTACCTGAAAAGGGCCCGGGAATCCAGAGTTTCAGGGCTTAGAAGCAGGAAGAGAGGGAAGCAGTAAGCAGGAGACAAGACAAGCTGAATGCAGGCCAAGTCCCCTTTGTCAACATGTGCAGATAAGAGGAAGAGCAAGCATAATTCCAGAGTATAAATGGCCCTTCCCACAAAGGACTTTGGCAGTGACCCTTATGTAACACATATGTTGGGGACATGCCCTGGTAGGTAGTTCAAGGAGAGAAGCATTGGTGATATGGAATCACAAAAGTTCTTCCGATGGTAGCAGCCCTGGAGATGTCCCAGCATATACATGACCATGTTTGTGCAGACACATACAACACACACACATACACTTGCATACATCTACACAAAACATTTACATACACATGTGCATGTTGCATGCACATATGGGCATATGTAGATACAATACATACACACATACCCATAAATCAGATACACACCCAAGCACATACCTAGTACATACCAAGTGTATACATATAGAACATATATCCATGTATACACAAGCACAAAATCACACTTGCAGTGGAGCCTCAGTGGTGTGGGTGATGGCCCTTGGCAGGTATATCCTAGGTAGAGGATTGACCACTTCCAAGGCAAGAAGCTGAGCCTGACAGTATATGAACAGGCCCCAACTCCATCCTCCATCCAGGGTAGAAATTCTACCTTTAATAGGGCTCAAGATTATAATGCTAGGAGCAAAGCATGGACATGAGTGAGTGCCAAGGTATGACTAGAGCCAAGAGCCTACTTACGCTGGTATCTCATTGGTCAGCTCGCTTGTAAACAAAGAGACAGAGATAGTGAGAATGAAGGGGATAGGGTAGATTCTGGGCCTTCCCTCCTGGCCAGAGCTTAGAGGGATATGGAGAATCTAACACCCATACCCTGCATGGCATGCACAGACAGGACCAGACAAGACAGCCGAAGGTAGAGGGAATGCCTGGCTCCTGACTGCATGTTACCTCTCAATCACAGCATTGAGGTATTCGATGTAGGTCCGCCCATCAAAGGCCAGTGTTTCTAGGTCCCCCACTGACTTCTCAACTAGTCCTGGGAGACAGATGGGATGAAATGGGCCTCAGGTGAGCTCTCCAGGCCATGCCAAGTCTCAGCCCTGGGCTGCCAGTGCTCACCCTTCTCGCAGTGCAGCCCAGAGAAGCCCCCAGGACACAGGCATTCATAAGCAGCTTCCCTTGGGACACACGAGCCCCCATTAAGGCAGGGGTTGCCCAAGGCTTGGGTACAAGGGTGGTCTGCAAAAGGTGACACATCTACTGCCCGCAATACATGCTCCTGAGTCAGCAGTTGATGGCCTCTTAGAGACACCTGAAGAAGAGAGGAGGAAGCACCTTAGTCACATCTGCTACCTTCTCTGATGAGACAACCCTCACCTAGGATGTAACCCCCACATACAATGGCCCTCTCCAACCCACTGTGGAGAAACCTGGGTAGTGCCCATTTCCATACCAGCTGGATGGCACCATCGAAGCCAGAGGACACTGCAGCCCCCCGGGCCAGCTTGCTGAAGTCAGGAGCTCCCCCAACATAGAGAGGCTCCTTGAGGTTGAGCATGGTGTGCGGCACCTAGAGGAGGCGTGGGGTAAAGGGTCATGTGTGAGTCACCCACGGGGCTTAAGTATGCCCAATTGCTTGATGCCCCACACCCACCCTTCACTATCTATGAGGCAGCATTAATCACACAGAAATGGCAGATTGGGCCTTAGTGGGAAAGGGCTACTCTAAGAATGGGTACAAGAGAGGGTGTGTTGAGTTGGATAAGAGGGCAACAGTACCTTGCGGGATTTCTGACATCCGGAGAGCAGGTGGGGGGGTTGCAGAGCAAGAGCCAGAGAGCAGTGGGAGCAAAAAGGAGACAGACCGAGGCACAGGGCAGACAGAGAAAACAGTTCTGTGAGAGTGGCTATCAAGGTCTATGAAGCCCCCAGGGAGGAGGAAGGGAAATGGTGGGAACAGGGTGTGGGAGGTCTAGAACTTCCTCATGCCCTGGATACTCACCGGAGACTCCCCTAGCACCCGAGGCCCATCACCCACTTGAAGGGCACCTTTGCGGCCATTTCGTTCCAGGAATACCCTGACCCAGGTGCCCAGGACTATGGGCTCTTTGCTCCTGCAAAAAGGTTTGAGTTGAGTAGGCTTTAGTTTCTGCTCACCCAGAGCCCAAGTAGCACTGGCATATACTCCTTGTATAGATAACTGTCATCCCAACCTCAGGTAGTCCTTCAGGTCCTCCTTGTGATCTATGCAGAATGTCTAGAGCCAACCCTGGTTAATCCCTAGTCTAGTTCCCATATGCCCACCTGATGACTGCAGCCCCCTTGCCAAGGTCATAGCGGAACTCTAGGTGCTGGTTATGCAGGGCCAGGGATACAAAGTCCCCCTTGCCATCTGTCTTCTGCCCATTGTAGAGGAGTAAGCCACTGGGCCCACGAGCCAAGAATATCATCTCCAGTGCCATCTTCTCCCTGGGGTCATGTGGAGTTGTGGGAGTGTGTCACTTTCTCCTCATCAGGTTAGCTCCCTTCCCTTAATCCTCCTGCCCTACTAACCCTAGGTCTCTCTCGAAGGTATGCAAGCCTTTCAGTTCCAGGTAGGAGAAGCCATTAAAGTCAGCCAGGAAGGGCCGGGAACCAGCAGTCTCCAGGACTATGGAGGGCCAAACAGATGTCAAAACAAGATTGCAGGCCCTGGTTTCCCTACTACTGTATCTAAATGATCAAATTCAACCCTAACCCAGGAATTTGACCCTAATCCCTCATCCTTCCCCAGCAGTTCTTTGACCTTACCTGTCTGACAGAAGTTACCACCACGTCCCAGGGGACACTCACACTTGGCCCCACCCCTGGAAAGCACACGGCAGGGAGCTTCCCCATGGCAGGGGTTTGGCTGGCAGGGACTCTTTTCATCTGCACAAGTTGGGCCTGAGGGGAGATTGGATAGGGGTTCCAGGAAACATGAGTCTCTTCCCACAATACCTAGACTCCTTCCCAGGCCCTAGGCTAGTTCTCACCAAAGCGGCCAGGTGGGCACTGACAGAGGAACATGCCAGCCTCCAGTGCCTGGCATAGGGCCCCACCATGGCAGGGGTTAGGTAAGCACGGATGGTCTCCACATTCTCCCACACCAGAGCTTTGAACCGCAGCCCTCTGCCAACTGTTAAGCTCCAGCTGCTGGTTGTTGATATCCAACATACGAATGCATCCTTTCAGGCCGATGCCCACAGAGGTCCGATCAAGCACCCTGATACCAGGAGGGGTCAGTCAGAGGTATCCTCTCAGCTATAATACTAACGTGCCCCATAAACCACAGCTAGGGATCAGGAATGCCCCTATGCCTACTCTATTGTGTTCACAGGGTAGCCAGCTCAATAATAAGACAGAATCAGGAGGTAGATATGACGAGGGTCAAGGGTCAGGGCCGAAGGTCAGGGATAGCCACCTCCATAGGTCTCATCAAAGGTATGCACAGCAAGAACTGATAGGTCAAGGTTACAGCTACCACCCGTACCCATTCCTCTATTACCCATCATTTGTTACACAGAGTCAGAGACCAGGGGCCCAGCCAGTCCCAGCCTATTTCTGCTCACATGGCAACTTGTTCTTCTGGGATACCACCCACATAGAGATTCGTGTCCAAGTTGAGGCCATCAGTGCCACTGGGACTTTCACCTACAACAGGAGTCTCGCCATCCACAGAGAGTGTACCCTGCCGCCAATGCCGTGACAATTCGAGGCGGTGCCACCGTCCTGGTTCCACTGGCACTAAGCTCGTTAGAACTGCTGGTCCTGACCCTGTGTCGAACCTAGACATGGGAGCCAGTGCTTAGGATGTTGGTCCAGGCCTACCATAAGCCTGGCCTACCTCATCTCACCCATGGCCCACCAGACTTCATTCCCTAGATTCAGAAGGTCTGGGTTGGTCTCTGCCACCATACAGGTCACCTGACCTACAGAAGTCATGCCTATGTACTACCCCATCCACAATGCCCACCTGAACTGTACATGACCATCCAACAGAGCCAGAGCCAGGAAATCTTTGCCACGTGCATTGCCATTATAGAGTAGCAGTCCCTCTGTCTCCAGTGCTCGGAATTCTAGTGCCAGACGCAGTGTGTGGTAGGCCCGGAGGGTAGGGAAAGCCAAGAAGGAGTGGCCCTTAAAAGCTGGCACAGAGGGAGCTTGTACTGCAAGAAAGAGACAGAGTTAAGCTAGTGCCTAAGACCCTGCTACACCCTCTGGCCATAACCCCAAAACCTCCAGCACTGGGTGTACCTTTCTCACAGATAGTGCCACCCCTGCCTGCAGTACAGCTGCAGGTGAAACCCTTGCCAGAATCCTGGTCCTGGCAGGTACCTCCATGGAGGCAAGGTTGGGAATCACAGAACTTTGGGGGCTGTTGAGGGCCTGGGGTCCGAGGCCGGTCAATGCTGGTGGTAGTGGTTGGTGGCCGGCGAGTGGTTAGTGGTACTGTAGTTCTGCCAACAGGCCGGCTGGTGTAACTGGGATAGACTCGTGGAGTGACAGAAGAAGCAGACAGTCGGGTCACAGTGGTAGCTCTGGCTGTGGCCACGGCAGCTGTAGTTCCTGTTGCAGCTCCCGTAAAGAAAGTTGGAAACCAGTCTGCAGGGAAGGAAAACTGTTAAATATGCATTTAACATATTTGTTATATGTTATATGTCACAGGACATATAAAGTATTGTTGAGGTACAGAGGCTACAGAAGGAAGGACAGGCAAGATGAGGCCTAACCTGGTACTCACCAAAGTCCAAGAATCGCATATGTTCCTGCAGAGGCCTCCTCACTGTCAGGGCCCACGGCCTGGATACCTGGATCTGTCGGAGCAAGGCCTGACCCACATCTGGTGCCTGGAAGGCTGTGGCTGGGGAGAAGAGGGTCCTGAGCATGACCTGGCTCCATGTAGTCCACACCCATCATCTCCCATGAGGGCAACAGAGGCTTACTAGGGTCAAAGTGAACATCCACAATGGCACGGACTAATTTGCCAGGAGCCAGTTCCCGTAGGCGGATGCTCCAAAAGTCCTTCTTGACATCTGAATTCCGGAATAGGTCGTCCAACTGCAGGCAGGTAATGGGTGAGGGCACAAGGTACTATCTAAACCCAGTTAAGATTTACTTGAGCCAGTCATCTGGGTCTGTCCTAAATGAATGCCCCACAAACCCTCATACCGTGCTTTCAATGCTCCTTGCAGTCTCCCCAAACAACTCTGACTTGGGGTCAGCCATCTCAGGTGTGTAGAACAGTTCCTGTCCCTCGACCCCCTCAAGCTCCAGCACGCCCTGGAATGCCTTGGTAGCTGTGGGGGAGGGGCAGTAAGGCCCTGCCAATGCCATCTAGCCTCCTAGGCAGCCACAGAAGCAAGTCCCACAGCAAGCCATTTGGGGTGCAGGGCAGGGGATGTTAGTCAGATGATCATGGAGTTAGTAAGTAGGAACCCCAGGGTAGGGCTGGTGTCAGTTACCAGGCAATTCCTAGGAGCAGGTGCCCCAAGCTGGCTTGCAAGGAGAAAGATGGGTTAGGTATAGGGTCCTTGGCACACATGCACATTCAATGGCTGAAACCAGAGTGCATATGTGTGCCAAATCTCTAATTCCCCCACACACTCAAGTGCTTGGAGCCAGAATATCATAACCTTATACCAACCTGCTGCCACAGAGAGAAGACAACATTCCTGTCTATGCTGTTCCTCAAGCTTATCCCTTTGCCTGCTGTTCACTTACCAGGACAGTTAGAGCCTTCTGAGTCCAGTGAGGGTGTCTTGCCATCTGAGCAGCAGCCCAAAGGTGAGTTGTAGCAGGAAGCTCTCTCGATGGGTGGCCCATGGGTCACCACAATGTTGCCCACCGGGGGCTCAAGTCCTGGGGAAATGTAGTCTAAGTACAGCCCTGGGTAGGAGCCACTCTTGGGCTCTGCCCCCACATCACCCTCAGACCTGCCCACACGTCCCTGAGGCCCTGCTCACCCCCAGACCCGCCCCCACTGGCCTCCTCATCTCCACTCAGCTCCTCATCGCCACTCCCATTGGCGCTGCCAGATTCACTGAAGATTGATGTTGCAAGACTGGTCACATCAGAGGGTGCTGTTGGAGGCACAGTCAGCACAGGCCATGCAGTGCTCCTGGGGATGCTGACTGTGGTCTGAGGTGATACAGGTAATGGGGTGGGCCAATCATGAGTAGTACTGCTGGGGGACAGAGGAAGGCTATTGTGGGGAAATGGCAATGTCTTGCTCAGGATATGCTTTGGGGTGGTCATAGATGCAGATGTTGGGGAAGTCCCAGGAGCAGCACTCTCTGCAAAAAGAAGGATGTTAGGGGTTCCAGTCAGAACAGGGTCAGGTCCTTCTAGTTTGTTTTAGGCAGTTGCTCTAGGTCCTTACCCTGGCATGGACCAAGACTCTGAGTGGAGATGTCTAGACGCTGGCGGCAGGCAATGGTCTTCAGCTGGCATTCATTGCCATACGTGACACCATCTGATCCACAGACCTGGAGTACAGGGAAAGGATGCTTAGGAAAGGCTTCCTTACCCCCATCACTCTCTATATATTTCATTCCTTACCTTGGTAGAGTTAGCCTCTGGACATGTGAGAGTTGGGCAGACACATTGGGCAAAACCAGCCTCCTCTATGCAGGAGGCACCAAACTCACAGTGTAGTTCCACACAAGTCACAGGTGTCATGGGATCTGAGGTAGGGATAAAAAATTCCTGCTAACTCAGGTATTCCCACCCTCAGCATAGGGAGTCCTAGGTCAGTACCAGTTCCTGCCCTCACCTGCTTCACAGCCAGTATGGCCCAGGGATTGACCATCTGGACACTGCCCACACTTGGGACCAGCCACACCAGGTCTACAGGAACACAATCCAGTCATCTGCTCACAGTCATCTCTTACAGCACCCCGAGGGTCACAGCTGCAGGCTAAGGGAATGGGAGGGAAGAATTTATGGTTTGTACCTGGATAAATTTCCCTACTTGCCCCAGTCCTACTAGATACTGGTCAGGCCAAGACATGATCAGTGATGGGGTAGACAGGTGGGAATGCATGTAGTTCCATTACTCACGAGTGCAACCACTATGTCCATCAGTGACAATGCCACGGAAGTTCCAGAAACCAGGTTCACAGCGATCACACCTGAGGCCTCCAACACCGGGTCGGCAGGAGCACTGCCCCGTGGCTGGGTCACAAGTGCCACTATAGGAGCCGTGTGGGTTGCAATGGCAGGTGCCTATGAGAGGAAAAAGCACTGGTCACTGGAGCTGCACAGCTCTGCTAGACCACAGTCAGGACTGGGTTCAAATACTCACTGGGACAGCCAGCAAAGCCCACACCCTGGGCAGCAGTGACATTGTCCTGGCAGCAGCCATAGGGGGTTTGGGCACAGTGTGGGAAGGCTATAGGTAGCAGTGGAGCCATGGTAGGGCCTGAGGAGAGGTGTACAGCAGTTTATATTTGATGTAGTAGTAGTTGTTCACCCTAAGCCCAATCATTCTGCCTCAATGCTTTCTGTCACATGACCTCATCCCTTTTGACATCAAATCCCACTGGGAACTGAAAATCGAGGCTGTCATAGGTAAAATCAACATATCACATATAAAGACATACAATAAATGTAGAACCCCAAACCCATAAAACGTACAAAACAGGGACATACATCCGTGTGCACACATTATCAGAGCCACAAAGACATGCATACAGATATAAGGGTACACAAATATATAAAGACACATTTACATGTGTTCACTCACATTCCTCTAACACATTATTCCTGTGTGGACACATCTGTGTACGTGTACAAACACATACATCAATCAGCACAATCTCCTCCCTCCCCCGAAACAAGAGTTTCTCTATATAGCCCTGGCTGTCCTGGAGCTGGCTCTGTAGGCTGGCCTGGTACTCAGAGATCCACCTGCCTCTGAGATCAAAGGTGTGTACCACTCCTAGCCTAGCAGCAATCTCTTCTACAAGAGTGAAAGTGCCTAGTGGGTGGTCCTCATGTTCTTTGTTCCCTCCATTTGGCACCTAATCTGGCTAGTAGAAAGCCAGTACTTGGTACACACCTTTAATCCCAGCACTCAAGGAGCATAAGCAGGTGAATCTATGAATTCAAGACCAGTCTGATCTATATAGCTAGTTCCAGAACATCTAGGACTATGCAGTGAAACCCTGCCTGAAAATAAGTAAAATAACAAAGAAAATCAAAATAAATAAATACCCATTATTATCAACAATAAGAAAAGTCACCACAGCATGTGCGTATGCCCACAGCCTTATATATCTCAATGCCATGCACCACAGAACATGTACACACAGAGAAACAGAAGCACAAACATATGGAACATGTCTCCACATGCTGGATGTGCTCTGTACAGACACTCACCACGGCAGGCTCCCTGAGCAACAACATATAATTCTTGCTGTGATTCACACCTGGCCTTCTTCAGGTCACACTCAGTGCCATAGGTTACCCCATCTGAGCCACATACCTGGAGGAGTGGGGTCAACCTCAGCAACCTTGACCCCCTCCTCAGTGTACCCACCCTAGAACCATGAAAGTTGGGGTACTCACTGGGCTTCTAAGAACACTCTGGCAGCTAAAGTCACAGACACATGGCCCATCTTCTGAGTCCTCATCCCAGACACCACCATGCTGCCGGCATAGCTCCTGTTCACACTCGTTGTCTTCCCCAGAACCAGAGCCCCCTGAGCCACACTCAGCTGCAGGAAAAAAGAGCAGTCACCCATGAGGTCTCCATCAGAGACTGGAATTTAGGGGTTTACACCAGTTACCTGAGCTTACCCGGCTCACATGGCCCTGCATGGGCCTCCTCAATTTGTACCTGCTGCTGACAGGCAGCTTCTCGTAGCTCACAGGCACTGAGATAGGTGACACCATCACTGCCACACACAGGGCCAGGTGGAGGGTGCTCACAACGGGGACATACACACTGTCCAGCTGAGCACACAGCCCCAAAGGTACAAACTGTTTCTCCACAGGTCTCTACAGGAGATGGTAAGAAGCAGGAATAAGCATGGTTCCCTGATGGAGAGACTCATGGAAGCCTATCCCTTCTTATCCCACTCACGGCAGTGTCCAGCTGAGGCCACGTATAGGCTGATCTGGTGCGTACAGGCGTGGACATGCAGCTCGCATTCACTAGCATATGTATGTCCATCAGAACCACATACGGGCTGGGCTGATTCCACACATTCAGAGGGGCACACACAGCGTCCAGTCTCCACCTCACACAGGGATCCGAAACGGCACTGTCCACATCGGTCTGGGGAGGAAGCTCTATCACCACGTTGACTAGAAGCCTTCTCCCAACCCAACCCACTTGCCCACCACTGACCACAGGGTCCTCTGCGGGCCACTTGGATTTCCCGCCCAAGGGCACAGGCCATGGATTCCAGCTCACACACACTGCCATAAGTGACACCATCACTGCCGCACACAGGATCGTAGATATCTGAGCACACCCGCTGGCACTCGCACACGGCTTTCCCATTCTTCACTGTGCAAACTGCCCCAAATGCACACTGCACTCCATGGCATGGGGATGGGGTCTGGTCTGGAGAATATGTGGTACTCAGTCCACATTCTCCTCCATCTGTGGACAAAGCCCACTCCCATGCAATAGCCCCTCTCCAGGGTGGGAATGGTGGAGGAAAAGCTAGATGCACAGGACACAGCAGAGAAAGGGACAGACACATAACAGAGGTGAATGGGGACATGAGTTTCTGACTGCCCATAGCAGGTCACTGACCCTGGACCACCAGCAGCCCTGGGATATCATGCACATGAGGGTTGAAACTTTTCCCCCATGGACAGGAAAACTCTACACCCCACAATCACAAACTACACAGGGAAGAAAGTGTCTGTCAACTTGCTCTGAGGACCAGAAGGCCAGGCAGTAGCAAGCCACTCCCCCCAGCCGCGCCAGGGGCAGACCTCGGGCTGTGGGCTCCTGGCGGGCAGGCGCAGCACCTCATCCTGCCAACAGGTCAGGCTGGAAGACACAAGAGTCGGAGCCGAGAGGGAGGGAAGGACCAAGAAGAAACAGACAGATGCAGAAAGAAAGATGGACAGAGGACTGACCAAGACAGACAGCAGAGGCAGGCAGGGCCATAGAGGCCCACAGCTCCAAAGGGGCCTGATGGCTACTGCCCAATCTCCTCCACCCTCTCCACTGGTCCCTCAAATCCCAAATTACAATCTACTTCTAAGAGGCTTAGGACTGCACTGTGTTCCTAGAGCAAGAAATCTCCAGCATCACATCCATTTCTGCCCACCTAAGTAGTCTGTTCCCCGTGCAGTACAGACACTGATGATGATGGACCAGAGGACCTGCTGGTGTAGCAAGGCCAAGTGCACACTGCCTTTGTCCCAGTTTCCAGGTTCCCCAGTTCCCCTCCTCATAGCTTCCACACACCCGCACCCTCCCCACATGACCCCAGCCCAGGACCCCAGGAGGTATATGACAAGAAATGGAGATGGTGTATGATAGGGAAAGGAGTGATGCAAGACCAGCTATTCCCAGCTGGATCCCAGGCTGCTCACCACACGGGCCCTGGTGTTTGGGGGGAATGGCCTGCTGTTGTTGACACTCAGCCTGTCGGCGCCAACAGTCATTATCATATGTGTGTCCATCCTGGGCACACACGGGCTTGTAAGCCCCATCACAGGTGACACGATCGCAGGAACAGCGGGGACGGCCACGGCGGGACATGCATACAGAGTTAAACTGGCAGGTCTCTGGGCACTGATCTGGGAGTAGACAAGGAGATCAGATAGGCAAAGTACCACACCAACTATCAACCATGTACAGGGTATTTGTGGACCCCTGACACAGTGCATGGGGATATAGATATGCAGGAATGGGGGCCCAATGAGCCACATTAACAGGGCTGGATCCATCCCCTGGGAGCACCAACCTCGAGTTTGGCATTGACCAGAGCGCACTTTCTGGAGAAGCAGGCCACGGGTTGCACCTATACGGCTCATGACACAGTCATTTTCATAGGTGACCCCATCATCTCCGCAGATAGGTGTGTGCTGGGCAGGGCAGTTCTCAGGCCGCCGAAGCATTTCTGGGTGCCGTGTACGTGGGTTCACACGGCAAATATGGTTCAGGTCTGACATGCTGCCCTGGCAGGGGTCTACAGTCCAAGAATATAGAAATCAGGAGCTGTCACCAGTGCACACTGAAGAGTCACATATGGGGAGAAGCCATGCAGAGTGCTTTCCTTACCACAAGGACCACTGAACTTCTTGAAGATGTGCTCCTGGTTGGCACAAGCATGGCGAAGCAGCTGGCACTCACTAGGGTAGTCAACACCATCACTGCCACACACTGTGCCCTCAGGGGCCCCAAAGCAGGTTGTAGGACACAGACATGAGGCAGTGTGTCCATCGGCTGAAGGTACACAGGTACTACCGAAACTGCAGGTCACATTGGCACAGGGGTCCCGGGACCCTGTGGGTGTGCAGGTGGGGTCATGCTGATTGCCCACTGGGCCGCCCCCCCCCAACCTCCCAGACTCACTTACCACATGGCCCTTGGCGAAGTAGGCGGATGCGCCGTTGCTGGTTGCACTGTGCACGTTGTAGCTCACACTCACTGCTATAGGTGGAGCCATCTGAGCCACACACAGGAGCCACCATAGCAGGGCAGACATTCTTCTTGCACACACAGGAGGCCCGGCCTGGATCCTCAACACTAGGTTCACACACAGCACCAAAGCCACATAACATTCCCCTGCATACTGAGTTTAGACCAGAGAAAGGGTATTCAGAGGCAGGCTACCAGGAATCTGTTCCTAGGTCCACACACCTATGAGCCCTTGCATCACATTCTGTTTGTGCCCAAATTTCATGGGGAGTTCCATATCCAAGAATTCACATGACTAAGGTCCCACCCAAACACATAAGCACCTACATCCTACAACTGTCACAATGCTTATGCTCAACTCTACCCTTGGAAGTCTCTTGGGACCTTCCCCCATGGGAGAGCAGTTTCTCTCACTACATACTCTACAACTATTGAGTTCATGCCCCCACAATAGGACAAAGCATTTACTCCCTGCACACCCCATGGGCCCTAACACACAGCCGGAGAGGGCTCCAGCTATGGATGCTTTATCTCCACCCATAAGCTCATCTCTTGTGGTTGTTGGGGTTGAATGTGAGGGTAGTTGCCCTGGAAGGGCTCTGAAGGATCTGGGTATGGATACATGCTAAGATGCCTATATAATCTCAGAGAGAGACTTGCCATTGCTAGCTTGAGGAATTGAGAGATGTGGATGAAGGAAGCTGGCTATAAGAGTTTATCTATATGTTTTTACTTCACAAAACTCAGACTCATTTCATCTAAGGTTTATGTGGCTCCTTTCTGGAGGGGGGTGTACTCTTGTGTCCATCTGAATCCTGCTACCTACCATTAAGGACCACTTCCATAACCTTCAGAGGTCCAACCCCCCCCCCCCCCAACCTCTTTTACTTTCTTCCAGGCCTGATAGGAACTGTGTACTACTAGGAGTCTGGAACTTTGTTCCACATTTCCCCTTTCCTTCTCTCATTGCTGCCTTCCCCTATACCTCTCTCGTAGGTCTCTCTCATCTCCAAAAGCACACTGTCCTGCCCTGCCCCAACCTGTTCCCGGTTCCCACTATCTTTTCTCCCTCAAACTCTGTTCTCTGTCTATTCCCCTAACCTTTCAAAGCTTCTCTCACTTACAATCATATAATGCTTCCACTCAGCCTCAAGTTGGAGTGGCATAGGTTTCTCTAGGATCATACAGGTACTCCCCTTCTGTTCTTCTGGGCCCTAATCTCAGGAAATATCCTCATTCAAGTCCTCTGAGTACCCCCTCAGTGCAAGTGCCTCTATATTCAGTCTCATACACCCATTCACACAAGAGCTTTCTAACACTGTAGTCTCAGTGTTACAAACAGCAATGTCCAGAAGAAGGGCCAGGTATTGTTTACTAAGCCCACAGGTAAGGTAGACTCTGGTATATTTAAAGTTTAGATAACCAATAGGGAAGCCTTTCTAACCACACTGGAGCTGACCCCTTCCGAAAAGATGAACCACATGTTGGGTGGGCCCCTAAGGGGCTACAGGGGTTACCTAGATCTACTAAATGTTTAATTGGGTGTAATTATCATCACCTCACATCATGCCAGAAGCAGTTTCCTAGGAGGGGAGAATACACTGGGGGCTAGAGTCAGCCACTGCAATAGCAATGACCTACCCAGCCTCCCTCCCTTGTTTGTTTGTCTGGGTAGCCTTGCCTCCACCTTAGAAAGCTGAAATTTCAGAACATCTACCTGCCTTATGTATGACCTGCTTATGTTTGTGTTTACCCTCCTGAGCTCTCACACTGTGCCTTAGTGTCCTCTTTCCTTTTTATAAATGGGAACACTAAGTACCTACTCCCAGAACCCAGTTTGCCAAAATCTACAAAACTTAAGCAAAGGGGTCCTAAACAAGTACTGGGTAGAGCATATAATAATAGGATTCTTAGCACCAACAGCCTTCCCTGTCTTGGCTCAAAACAAACATATCCACCAGTGGCCTCTCTTCATGCCTGGACAACACCCAATTCCTATTTAGCATTCTCTCTCATAATCATATCATCCTCACATTTGGTCTTCTCTTACCCAAATTCCTTGAAGGTCGAAGACCAAATTTAACAAGTACTTTCTGAGGCTGAGCTGATACTTGTTGGCTGTACTCTTTGGCTATTGGCCAAGGTGTTTAAAGGTGTGGAACAACACTAGCACCTGATAATTTTCTTAATGTTAGAACAGGCACAATCTGAGACCACCTGCAGAGAGGTATGGATGAAGGAATTATATACATTACTACAGCAAGCAGAACTGTTTTTAACAGCTTTGGACTTCAGGCACCACTAAAGTATCATCATTTGCAATGTCTATGGATCAGAAATGAAAGCAGAGGCTCAGTGAGGCTTCCTGACAAAGTTTCATCCCTAATAAACACCAGAGCTTAGCTTGGTCCCTATCTGTGCTCCTGATCACTTCCCCAAACTGCTTCTCATAAATACAGGTGGCATACCTGGGCACCTATGAGTCAGCAGTCTCTAATGGGTCATGTCTGATTTCCCCAGTAAGTGTCCTTAGCCCCTGAGGAACTTCTCCCTTGCCTCCTAGCTTCTTACCCAGCCAGACATCTTTGCCTGTAATGTTGGAGGTGTCTTCTACTTTTTATAACTATCAAATATATATCCCAAGAGCCTGCTTATGTCTATTTATGTCCAATATGAGTATTTGTGTGTGTGTGCGTGCGTGCGTGTGTTATGGCCTTGGTCTGTGTCTAAAGTGTACAAAGGAAAGCTGGGTATCAATAAGGGGACTGCGTGTACAGTTGGGAATGCAGTGTGAATAGGGGAAAGAGGACATCTGGGAGTTTGGGAGATTTCAGAAGGAGAAGAAATTGCCAAGAAGAAAGATTTCCTCCTGAGCCTTCCTTGAATATAGACAGCTGTAGGCCTCTTGCCCCCAGTCTGTGAACACTTAGACCTAACCTCATGCAACACATTAAAGGACACACTCCACCTACTAACAGCCTACCTCACTGGCAGTGATTTGGTTCCTTTTTAAAAGATTTTGATAAGTAAAAGTTACTTCCTCCTGCTTCCAAGCCCAACTTGCTTACTCATCCACCAACCTAGCCAATAGTCTCTGTAGCTCTAGTAATAGTGAGGTTTCATAGAACACAGTAGTATCTTACCACTCTAATAGTAACTTCTCAGGCAGAGGCTCCTGGGAAGTAGCTTGAGAAAGGACACTGGGGTCTGAGACCAAGACTTGGGGCCATAAAGCCAGAGTTCAGGGCTATGTCAGAAGCACCTACCACTTACTTACTACCAGCCTCCATTCACACTATCCCCCAAAACTGCCCAACTAGCAGTCTAACTAGACACCAGAAGTCTACTGGCAAAGTGTCAACTAATACACTATCAGTTTGTTAATATTATAAATGCAGGGAATAAAAGGGCAGTTGCCTAGAGTTGACTCTTCCCCATTTGGCCATCAAAAGGTAGAAGAAACCCTCTGATATCCTGCATATAATCAAGTTCCTGCTTTGAGATGCTTGGGCTTGCCGGGCAGTGGTGGCACATGCCTTTAATCTCAGCACTTGGGAGACAGAGGCGGGTGATTTCTGAGTTCAAGTCCAGTCTGGTCTACAGAGTGAGTTCCAGGACAGCCAGGGCTATATAGAGAAACCCTGTCTCGAAAAAACAAAACAAACCAACCAACCAAACAAACAAACAAAAAAGAGGTGCTTGGGCTCCCCATTCCCAAGGAAACTTCCTACGCAATTTAGACTACTAAGGCCTCCAAAAGGAAACTTCCTACCCAATTTAGACTGCTAAGGCCTCCAGAGAGCTCTACCTTTGCCCTAACTTCCCAGTATAGGACAGAGGAAAGGATACTTCCTCCATTTTCAAGACCAAGGACGTGACCCAGACTATCTATGTAACCCAGGGCTGCTTCCTAGAAAGAGAACAGAGTCTGCTCTCAGAGTGACACCCACAACCTCAATCTTAGGATTCCTAGATATTCCCATAACCCATATCCTGCACAAAACAGGAACCATGGATGGGCATGGTAGTATGCACCATTACCCCAGCACTTGAGAGGCACAGGCAGAAAGACCTCTCTGAGTTTGAGGCCAGCCTGGTCTACACAGTGATTTCTAGGATAGACAAGGCTATATAGAGACTTGGTTTCAACCCCCTACCCCAAACCCAAAATCCCAGAAAGCTTGGCTTTGCCTCACATGAAATAACTTTAGACATATGTCTTCTATAAAACTAGTCAGTTGTAGGGCTAGAGAGATGGCTCAGTGGTTAAGAGCTCTGACTGCTATTCCAGAGGTCCTGAGTTCAATTCCCAGCAACCACATGGTGGCTCACAACCATCTGTAATGGGGTCTGATGCCCTGTTCTGGCGTGTCTGAGGACATTGACAGTGACAGCGTACTCACATTAAATAAATAAATCTTTTTTTTAAAAAAAAAATAAACTAGTCAGTTGCCCAGGCTGCAGAGTTGATAAGATAGTAAGTACAAAGGATAGAGCTGTGCCCCACTTGCTGTGAGAAACCAGGCTGGGCTAGCAGAGATACAGCTTATCCCCAGTCTGCTTTTTCTGTAACACTGTCAGTTCCTCTTCTTTTTCTCATTAGCTTAGTTACAGAAGTCTACACACTAGTAAAACCCCTGGGAATGCTAGCCCCAGCCCATAATACCATGAAAAAGGTTAGCCTACCCTTTCCATCATTTGCTTCCTCCCCCAACCTAGGGACAGACCTGGGTCCTCCAGCCCTCAGACAGCTGTCATTGGCTTTACTGGGCCCTCCCCCACTACCCAGCCCACTTTCCCTTCTGTGCTTCTGTCTGTTTCCAGCCCCACCCTTTCCTGAATAGGGAAAAAGACAAAGAAAAGGAATCCCTCCACAAACTGACTTCAGTGCTCCATCTAAACCTCACACAAATCCTCTGACAGTTCTAAAACGAATCCTGCTTAGGAGTATTGGCCAGCACTTAAAGACCCCTGTGGACTCCCTGGAAGGGATCCAGACTCCCTTGTACAGCCTCCTACTCAAAATATACCTGGTGTACACACTACAAAACTGCCCCAATCCTGGTAACCCTGACCATTTTCACCCACATCATTAGTGTGCCAACCACGTGTCCCAACCACTGGCCCCAACCACTGCACTCACCATCAGGAGGCATAGAAGGTGCTGCTGTGAAGTGGATTCCAGGTTTGTCTGTGGGGGGTAAAAGTTAGGTTCCTTTAAGCAGGTACTTTGCCCACTCATACCCATTCCTCAAGATTCCAGTTAAAATCAGTAAGGCTGGAAAGTCACTGACCAAGGCAGGATAGATTCTGCCCTGCCAACTGCACAGCCACCTTCTTTCTCTGGGTAAGTCAAGATCTTGTCCCCTGCTCCTAATCCCAGTACTGATGGATCCTTGCCAAGTCTCACAGTTTCCTGCATCTCAGGATGAAGATCTATACCATCAGGAACCTAAGAATAGTTTTTTTATAGGCCAGGAATCTAGTGTGACCTATTCAGTACCCAGAAGGAAAAGGTGCCCCATCCACAGCAAACCCTGGATTTGATTTGACCCTGCCTTCCCTGAAACCCTTGGTAATTGAGATGAGGGGCTCAGTGAGCAGAAGAGGAACACCCAGCAGCCACGTACAGTTGCTGAGGAAAAGCAGCACCGCAAAGCCCAACGTAGAAGTAGCCAACAGGATCAAGCAGATGTTGCAGGGGATCATGAAGTACCGAACCAGCATGGAGGCACCAGGCTGCTGCCTGGGTCTGTGTTCCAGTGGCAGAGGAGGCATGATACAGCTCTGGCCCAATTCCTGGGTGTGTGGGAGTGTTCTTATGGAGTGCCCTTAGGCCTCTTCGGAGCTACTCCCCCCATGCTGGGTGCTCTGGAGCAGCAGATGGCAGCTGTGATCTTAAAGTTTAGCCAGTTATGGCTAGGGGAGCACCAGGCCCTCTCCCCAGCCCTCCAGACTCATGGTAGGAGATAAGCAGAATTCTTTCCAAGTAGAAATCCCAAATGTGAGCTCAGAAGCAGGCAAAGGATGATGGAGAGCCAAAGCAACCCCTGTTGGTTACAATTCTTCTGCCCACTAGCCAGTGCAGTCCTCTGTAGCCCCTGTAGTCTGCACGGCAGGGAAGGCCCCAAAGACCAGGGGCGCCGGTGCAGGGCCTGTCTGCTCCTGCCTGGCAGAGGCGGGGGAGCACGATGGCAGCGGCGGGAGGAGCAACGGCTTTGGAGAGAGAATAAAGAACCGCGGAGGCGCCTGCCCACCTCCAGTAGCAGTGGTAGCAGCAGCGGTGGCGGCGGCAGCAGCAGCGGCGGCGGCAGGCAGTGAAGCTCTTCTTGTCTTCACTGGGCTGGGGCAGTGAGTGAGGGGTGAGGGAAGCCGAGGGGGCGGGGGCGGTGAGCAGAGACAAAGGAGGATGTCTCTGGGGACTCTAGCGTCCACAGGGAGTCGCAGTTAGTAGCAAAGAGGCTGGGGTGGATTAAGACCAGGATGCAAAGTGTACAAAAGGGACAGAGCAGCTTTGGGTAGAGGTAGAAGCTTGGGGAGGGTTGGTGGTGGTGCTGGTAAGAGGGCAGGAATCAAGAGAGGGACAAGCGATGGGAAGGCAATGGAGCTAGAAACTGGAGGACAAGGGAGAAGTAGGAGTGGGCTAAGTGTTGTCACAGGGGAGCAGAGGTTGAGCCTTGAGAGAAGGTGGTTGCTTGGCATATGGAGCTGTTGAGGAAGGTGGGGCAGGAAGCAGCCAAGTGGGAGGGTCAGCAGAGGCTGCTGTGTGAGCAGAGGCAGTCCTCCTTGATCACTCACTCCTAATGCCTGGCTGGGCTGAGAGGTTCCTGAATCACCTGCACAGGGGACCTGGGCCTGCAGGAAGCATTAAATTCTGGGATTTGGTCTGCTTGTGCTTATGCATGCCATTGTGCCAGTGCTCCTGTTGTTTCTGCTCCTGCAGGCTCTGCCCTGGTGTGGAGTGGGGTCTCCAAGTGGTATGTAAGATATTCAAGTGGGTACAAGCTGGCGAGTGAGGTGATGGGTTCATAAATCACCCACCTACCTTTCCTCTTGTAATTGAAAACACCTTAAACCACCCATTCACTCGACTCCCCAACAATGAAAAAACATGCAAATAGCTGTGAAACTCTTGCCACCCCTTGACACTAAGCCTGGAGCACACCACAGCCCTCAAGCTACTTTGCAAACTCCAGCAGGGCCATGAGTCAAAGTGTTTGGGATGGAGGCACAATTCACCTAGGCCCAGTGAGGGGGCTTCTTTCCTGGCCTCTCCTGGGAAAGATCCCCAGCCCAGGTATCCACAATCTTGGGGAGTATGCACATTCTACACTTGATGTAGCCACCCTCCTGTTAAGTCTTCATCTCGCAGAAATCACCCAAATAGCCCCCACACCACACACTTGGGTTATACCAACAGGTACACAGTGCCTACAACTCAAGACTCAAATCAGGTTTCTGTACCAGTAAGTCCAAATTTTCGGCCACTTGTAGTTACTCTCAAACCTCATCTCAGTACATCTTAAGAAAGCCACATCTTTCTCTGCCAGGAGCTGTTGGCCAATCTGTGGGGTTCTTCTATTCCATCCTTCATCCAGCCCTTCCCAGGGCCCTAAGACCCTACACTCACTGCATAGGAAACAGCCCCACTTCCATATTACCTGCAGGTGAAACCTCTCTGAGGCCTCTCTGGCCAGGCACTTGGTACCCTCACTGTGCCCTTTTGATCTGTCAGACAGGTTTCTCAACCCTAGTTGGTAACATTCTACCTTCTAATCCCTTTTTATCCCCTGGCCAGGCATAAAGTGCCATCCTCCACTGGGTCATTCATTTACCACCTATGATAAGAGGTTTTCCATCATTTGTGGCCCCAAATTTACTCTTCTAATGAAACCTTACAGGAAACTCCAAAATAAAGCAAGGGTTTTTTTTTTTTTTTTTTTTTGGTTTTTTTTGGTTTTTCGAGACAGAGTTTCTCTGTATAGCCCGGGCTGTCCTGGAACTCACTTTGTAGACCAGGGTGGCCTCAAACTCAGAAATCCGCCTGCCTCTGCCTCCCAAGTGCTGGGATTAAAGGCACGCGCCACCACTGCCCGGCTCTAAAGCAGGGTTTCTGAGCCCTATACCTGTAGTCTAGGACAGCATCAGATCTAACTACTGGAAAACTCTCAGATTGCCTCACTCCCTCCTCAGGAGAGATCTGGTCCTAAAAACTTTCTACTCGACCTTGGCACTGTCTGTGGCACAAAAGTAGTCCCTGTGATGCTAGCTCCCCTAGTACCAGGACTAGGGTCTGAGTTCTAAGTTCCAAGGGCAGGGTTTGGCATAGAAAGGCAAGAGAACTTAGAATTGGGGAGCCCAGCACAGGCCATATATGATAAATTATTTCTCTGCCGCCAGTGAAATGAGCCAATTCAAGCCAGATTAGATTATATTAAATGCAGGTTTATTGAGAAGCTGCTCTTGGGCAAGTTCACTGGCCCCAAGGACCAAGACCAGGGAAGTCACCATGGGGAGAGATGGAAGAGGGGAAAGAGAAATAGAGAAGGGGGTGCACACGTGTGCCCAAAGAGAAGAGACCAAACTGTCTGGATTATTTAGGGAGGAGCCTCTGGGAGAAGGGCAGCCCAGGCCCTGAGCTGGAAAATTCAGGGTTTCGGGTAGGGTTGGGGGTAGGGTAGCCCAGGTAGAGACTGAGGGGTGCTGGGAAAACCTGGAGGGCAGGTCTGCTTTGATATGTAGAATATGCACCTCAGTCCCTTGTCCCAGGGTCCTAAACATCTTCTGTTTGCCTCACTGTCCCACAGAAGGTGCCAGAAAACAAGAGCCCCAGGTAATACTCAGCATGATACTATTGGATTCCAGGGCTGTTTCAGCCCTGGAATGTCCCAGTGTGTTGTACAGGATGCACAGGAATCAGGGTCTTGAAGAACTTGGCCCCACTGGGAACAGGAACCCTGGACAAGAGCAGGCAGAAGCTTCCAGTGATCTTGGGAAATTTGCTGTATGTATCCTTTGCCTATTCCCTTTCACCAAGCAGAAACCCTGAGATCTGCCACTGTAGAGGTCTCAATAGGCAATTTTTTTCAGGGCATATAGGGCTCTAGTCAGCTCTGGGCAACACTGGAATGGGGCTTGAGGTCTGTTGGGCCCAGCCATGGGAAAGGGAACTAAGGCAGCCTGGCCCCACCAAACCCCAGTCAGTGTCTGAGCCCCCTGCAGGGGCAGGATGCCTTCAAAAAACAAAGAGCCTTTGAGGCTCCAGGCCAGTGGGGGGAGGGGAACACAGGCTACTGGAGTTATTTTGGGATCTTTAGACAAAATTATTCAGCCTAGACTGCCCCAGCAGGCTCATGCCCAGTATTGAACAGGATGCTGGTCCAGGCTTACCGCTTTGGGCTCACACCCTACCAACATACAACCACATATATGAGCCAAGGCATTAAGTTCTCCTGCTTTCCAGCAGTCACTCAAGCTTGAAGGCACTACATCTCCCACCTGACACACTAGACATTCTTTGTGTGGTACAAAGCTTGTCCCTTACTCCCAAGCATAATGGGTGTGGCCCTATGCGGCTGTTGGGGGATGGGGCCTAGAGAAGGCTCAGAGTCCAGCTACAGTTAGCTCACTGGTTCCATTCTCATGCAGACTACCCTTCTCCATTTCTAGATAGCCTTCACTCCCTTAGAAAAGAAGGTAAAGAGTTAGGGATCACAGGGGAGCCCAAGGAAAAAGCTGCCTTTCCAGCTATTTAGCACACATTCAATTCCCCAATGCACATGCCTCACCCTCTGACCTCTAGTCAGGCTTAGGTGAAACCCACCTGTTCTCTTTGGTTGTGGGGATTTCGAGGCTCTGGTTAATAGAGGTACCTGATGGACTTAGTTCTGGCTGCTCTGGTTGGGGCAGGGCAGTATTATCCAGGACCTCAAGTGCCTGGCCTCAAACTGCACCTTGACTTTTCTCTCTCCCCACCTTCCCTCAGTCTTAGACAATAAGCACTTCACAGCAGGACAGAGGTACTCAGCCTGGTCAACTGCCAGCATGAAGGGGCCTCCAGAGTTCCTCTTGCTAGCTTCAGGCTAAGATCAGATATATGCCCACCCAACACACCTAGACAGTTATCCTGTTCGGCAGGGCGGCTGGATTAAATTAAAATTTGAGACACAATAGGGCTTTTAGGCAGCCAAT